AACATAAAAATTGCTTTTCATTTTCCACCCTGTGTTGCTGACTAGTGAACCCAGAAACATTTAAAAAGCGCAATTTCAATGAAGCCAGGGCTCGGAAGCTACGAAAATGCTCGCCTAAATTTCTCTTCTCCTTTAAAAATGTAGCCCCAGTAATGAAAAACTCGTCTAATTCCCAATTGGTCTAAAGCAACTGAAAATAAACAAGCAAATGCAGTCAACCTTATGAGTGATTTAGGAGACGAAACATCATTGTTCAAAGTCGTGTCCCTGTTTTCGCTTTGACGAACCAAAAAAACGCTACATGCATCCACAAACTTGCTAAAAAAATTTACAATAAATCTATTACCTTAATTAAAGATGAAGTAGCGTTATATAAAAACATGCCTTAATTTCTCCACTTGGTCTTCTACTGCGCCAAGAGTGTAATAAGCATTACCAATGACTGAATATTTCGGAATGGGCCAATCACAATCAGTCCAGGCATCTGTCTTTTTCCTAAACTTATTTGAAACCGGTACCATTCAAAGCAACATTGAAATCTTGACAAATTCCAACGATTTCCAAAGTAATATCCAAGATACAAACGGTAGCGAAGAAGTCTCTACTGCATCTTCATAAACATCATAATCACCAACTGCGATACATCTAGTGTTCGAAACACTTTCCTTGTCTTTTGTCGCCACGAAGCTGACAGATTTGCCCTCATCTCTACAAAATGAACAAAAGAAAATAAGCTGAAAATAATCTGGCCCATATACTCCTTTTACAATAATATTATCCACCTCAAAAAATCACTTATATCCTTTAATATCTGAAAAGAAAGACTTTGCTGCGAAAAACAAAAGGTGTAATCTTCAGAAGTGGCATAGAAAGTGCTCTTACAATTTTTCAAACATTATTTGTTTATTGATAGAAAATTACATTGTACAATATTTCATATAAATATATATATCAATTTACGGATTAAGAAAAAGAATCAGTGATCTCACACCTCTCCAATCGAATTTCTTGAGCAGTCTCAACCAGTTGAACCTGTGTATCAGCAAGAAGCAATTCCAGTTCCTTTATTCTGTCTGACATCATTCCTATACGTTCTAGCGAAGCCCTTAAAATCACGTAAGTTACAGAAACCTTTCAAATAAGACTGTTTTCATTTCCAGTTGGTCGTGAAAATGTTGCTTACAAACAACCAACAACTCTATACTCACTGATACAAAAGACTGTTAAATTGAGAAAAAACACTAGAGATTTCGAAAAGTTGCTATATGAATATAGCTGTAAAGAAAATTAAGCAAAAAGAAAAGAAAGTGCCTTTTCCACTAGGCAGGGGTTAATTATCAACCGAAGGAAATAGTCATTTCTGTAAGCAAGATTCTGATCGTACCAAGGTAGTAAACTTGCTTTTTTTTTTT